AATTTGTTTTTCTGCTGTTGGTTTATACCCTTAAGCAATGTGTCTGTGAATGCATAGTCGGCCACTGTGAGGGAGGGCAGATCCTTGAATGCATCTTTCACTTTGTGGAACACCATGGCAATGGAGAGCTTTTCCAATGGCATGCCGACGTCTTCCTTGCCCTTCAGAGCCTCTTTCTTCAAGTCTTTAAAGTCCTTTCTACTTAAAATATATCCCTCGGGTATGGAATACGCTTTTGTGTTAGCTTCAGGGTAGTGCTGAAGAATGTATTCGAGTTCGGCGTCCTTCAGAGGCTGCTCTTTACCAGCCTCATTGTATACCTTAAGGTAATTCCGTATGTCCAGGTTTCCTCTTCTTTCGTAGCTTTGAAGTCGTCCAAGGTCTGAAAAGTCCTCGCAATTGCTGCATCCCGCTCTTGCCCCCTAATGAATGAAACTCTCTTCAATTCTTAAGATTTCGACTGCAATAAGAATTCAGGCATTTAAAGACTTATCTTGGGTGCTACATGATACGAAAAATACCAAAAGAAAAGTAAAATATTATGTTGTATGCAATTTCAGGTATGACACGATGCTAAAAAATCACATCCTGATTAATGCTTTTAAATTCAATATTAATTTATATGTCAATATGCAATATTAATGAATATGCGAGTCGTAGTCATACATTTTGACAATGGCATGACAGACTTCTTTTATTTATTACAAGTTTTTACTTCATAGGGAAAACACCTTGAGCTCATATGAACTGAAATAGTTCTAAGCGTGATCATCTCTTCTTTAATGTGCCGTTTCTGGGGAGTAATTATTAGTAATTTTTCGTTTCCTGGTGCACAGGCAATAACAACATGGATTCCAAAGTATCTTCTAAGTTAATCAAATTACGCCAATACATATTGCCGCCAGAAAGAGTTATTTGTGCACCCGGTTGAAAAGCAGAAATTCTCTTTCATCAGTTTTCATATTACATTACCTTTTTTCATTTTAAGCAAATTAAAAAATAGCCAGGACATTGCAGCTTTCAAATGTTTCAACACTTGTCTCATTGGGAACTAACTCATATTCAGTGGTCGGGCAGGTCAAGTATCTTGCTTAAAAAGTAGATATTGCCTGCCACTTTAATATTCTATACGTTTTCATAACCAAATATTTATTTGGAATAGTCTTTCAATTTTCCCACATCCTATCTCTCCTAGGTAAAACTATAGATATGACTAAAGTGGATGTCAAGATGCTAGGTGACGAGATATCACTGCAGGAATAAATTTCCCATTCAAGTTCCATGGGTCTTTCCTTCCTTTTTGGAGGGTGAGAGAGGAATGTCTGAAAGACTCACCCCTAGGAACTTCCCAATGTTATTTAACTTGAAGAGAGTTTCTTCACGGATTTCCCCGATGTCTGCTTCCAAAAATGTAACTTCTTTTACGCGCCCCTCTTCATGCATCGTGCGCCAAAGTTGTCGATGATTTGGTAAGCAATCAATTATGAAGAGATTAGTTCGCGCTCTGGACATACTCTCAAGAAGCCAGGAATCCTCCACGTTCACAAGTACTGAAACACTGGATTCGCACCCTCGAAACTCTTTGGGATGTAGAAAGTGAAATCTATCGAAATGTTCCTTTTTAATCCACGATTGCAAAGATGGTATGAGCTTCCCGTCTGAGACTAACACATGCACGGAGTCCTCTCGCATCTCCTTTGTCACATAGTAGCCAAAGCACATGAATACGCCAAGAAATGGCTCACAATTCTCCTGTCCATTGCAGGCATACTGTAAATGATAGCCAGTGCATTTGTATGAACATTTGAGATACTTCGGCTTGAGGCCTTCGATCCAGGCACCTGAGCGAGAGGCAGTGGGAAGGCATCTGGCCTCCAGCTGCAGGGGGTTGCGAGTTTCGTTTCTTGAGATGTGAGAGAGTAGCTTGTGGCTTGTGCAGTGTGAACGAGTTTTGAGTGTGAACACCTTCACCGTCTGTTTCTCGAAAAATGAGCCGAGTTCATCCAGGGAGATATCTCGGTCTACACTTGAGTGCGACTGAAAGGCAATAGTCAACGTGAGTTTCCGGTCACCTTTTTTCAAGTTACTCAGGACCTCTGTCCAAAGTTTAATCTCTTCGTCAGTATTTTTGGTCAGGATGGGGTAGTCGTCAACGTGTATATGAATGGTTGCAGTTGGACACTTCCACATCAATTCGTCCACTCGGGCATTGCCGATGACATCTCTGGGCGACATTGGAGCTGCTTTAACGACGTCAACTACGTCCGCGACAGCCTGAAGATGATATAGAGATATTTGCCAACAGAGTGCGCTCCCCATGTGAAGCAGGAGAATGCGATGGTTATCTCGGCGGGCTTGATGAGCAAGATCGTGGATGCTTTCTAACAATACCGCACTCTTCCCTGAAGAAGGTGGACCGAATAGCGCTATGAATTTTGATGTGTTCCTTGCAATGCGTAGATGGAGACCATCCTCCTGAAATGGATGCCATTTTGTCTTAAATTGAATAAAATCAGACCTTCTGGGAAACACATCCTCGTCCAAAAGTGTAAACTCCTTCTCATCCCTCCCCCAAGCCATTTCAATTTTTTCCCTCAAGCTTCCCAGCAATTCTTCTGAATCCATTCTCCAGTCGGTCAGTATCCTCTTCCTTATTGATTCTGGCATGCTGATCTTCAGCTGGGAATATTTTCCTGTTTGCAAATGTTCGTTCTCCATGACAATGATCACATTGTCATGACAGGAGGATATCAGTCGGGAATAATTCCTCCACTTGCAGTTGGGAAAGTCCAGAATTGCAATAACGTCATTCTCATGATATCCCAGAACTTGATCATCCGTCACAATGACCACCTGGGACTCTGACCTAGCCATATATCTTCCTCGTGAGTCGATGAAATTTGCATTTATGTCATATATTCGGGTCAAGGTATTAATTACACGATCTCGACGTTCTCTGCTGTCCAATGTCACTATAATCCGCCGATTGGACGAGAAATCACGCCAGTGCAGTATTGCGAGTATGGTCTCACATGATCTCACTGCGTCACAGGTCAATTTGTTCCTGCACGTTTCATGAAGGGCGGGGCAAGAGGGTATGGGAAAAAAGGTGGGTAACAATTCATTCTCCGGATGGCCAAATTGAACACTACGCAGAGTAGGTTCTTGACAGACAAAAATACGACGCGAGTAATTTCCTAGGGCCAAAAATAATTCCGACACAAGTCTAGTATTTCTCTTCACAACATTCAGCGATATGATTTTCATTCCTGCAATTCTGACTCCCTGGAGATCGATGTCCCTAGTATAGGTAGCATCATTTGGACGGAACGCAATGGTGAGACTCCTAACGCGTCCTTTGAGACCGGAAATTTCCGCCCAGTGCTCGGAAAGACTTCGTTCATCCATGTGATCGCTGATTCCAAGAGTAAGAGGGACCTCATCAAGAAGGACGTGCTTCCCTTCTTGACCCCATAGGAAATTGAAGATTCCCTCACGGTCTTCCGGAATTTCATCTTTTCTGCCATCCAGAACTTTGATATTCTTTTCATCTGGAACAACAGCAACGCCCAACATCGTTAGACCCACATCAACCTCTGTACAATAATGTGCTCTTCTCGCAGCTCCGCCATGACTACTTGATATCTGACAATATATTGTAATGCCATAATGTAACGTTTTAATTTCCTAAATATCGGTATGATTAAATGAGATGAACTCCTTCAAAGTCTGAATGCAGATTATCATCGTCCATAATATCCATGTTCATGTTCTTCATAGCGATTCTCCGCATTTAAACGTCGATTCTAAACATATGAATATACAGGGTGGCCCAATAGTAGATATACAGTATAGTTTATCTGCATTTTATTACATTGTTTATTACATTTACATTTGTTTAACACTGTTTAATCTCGTAAGTGCACGAAATATCTTCCATCAACGTTGCAACATTCCTCGAACCTGTCCAGAACACTGTGACATATACCTACTTTGTATATATCTACTTTGTATATAACTACCTTGTATATACCTACTTTGTATATACCTACTTTGTATATAACTACCTTGTATATACCTACTTTGTATATACCTACTTTGTATATACCTACTTTGTATATACCTACTTTGTATATACCTACCTTGTATATACCTACTTTGTATATACCTACTTTGTGTATACCTACTTTTGGGATACCCTGTATGTAAAGGACGAGGTCCTGGAAAACGACATGTTACTGCGCATGATAAATGTGCATGCAAGATATGAGGATCTGACAGAGAGCTCTCCTTTCCAACTTTGTTCATATGTGTTGATCAATACTTGCCCTGGCACTAGATCAAGAATTACTAGATATCCTAATAATGAAGGAAAGAAATGCGAAGTTATTCCTCTCACATCACACCTCTCAACTGTACCTCTTTCCCTTTTTGCAATGAACGAATTAGCTGTAAGAACGGAACTGTTCGTGCCACCATACCTGGGAATTGAAATGAAATTGACGAATTCGGTATAAGGGCTTCCAGGATTTTCTTCACCTGATCTTTAATAATGGATAAGTCCCTGTCCATATAAGGAGAAAGTAGTCGTAGGTGTACAACGCGCACTTGCGCGTTGGCGCATTATGAGGCCGTTTCATGAACTACACTAACGTAATTATACAGCTGGAATGTGTTCCTTCGTTCAACAGGGCATAGCAAATAAAATTCCGTTCTTAAAAAAAGCTTCAATCGTATATATGAAGGTCCCAAAGGAACGATTTAAGGGATTGATGTCGGTGTGGAGTACACGCTGGGGAACGGATTTGTCTGTCAGTCCAATCAATAGAACCTGCAATTATCAGTAGAGTGATAATACCTTCATGAGGTATGCCAATCTTGAAGGCCGAGCATGAGAGTATTTTAATACGTTGACCGCCACGGAAATCCTGTACTATTGCTTTTCCCATTCAGTGAGGCGCACCGGTGCGACTCGAGGCGATCAACCTGTTAATAATTCAATCACTCCATTGGAGTTGATTAAAGTGATAATCAAACCATTGGAGACCCTAACAGGGATGTTAGGGTCTCCAATTGTTTATCTTTTTGTGCGACTACTTTGATCCCAATAAATGTGTACATTATGAAGGCATGCATGATGTTAAGGGAGACAATGTTTTCAACACTCCTATCAAGAGCATGTTTCAAAAGAGGAATTTCCCCAACCTTGAAGGTCCAGACGGAAGTCTTTAGTGAGTTGTCCTCCGGCGAGGTTCACCACCAAAACTTCCACATTTTGGTCACGCTGTGCAAGTTGCTTTGCCCTTTCTTTCACAACTAGAGTTTTCCCCGTTCCTGACCCTCCGGAGATTATCAGGAGCCATGATGACTTCTCGTCGGCATCCACGAGCCTCTTCTGCTCCGGGGTTAGTAGGCACAAGGTTTTCTCCATTTGTTCGTCAATGGCTTTGGAATACTGCAGATGAGTTCGTGGCACGTCAACAGAAGATGATGCACAAATGTATAGCGAAAAAATATTAAGAAATATATTTTTCACTGCGGATGGGCATTCGGAACATTCTTCTGGCAGTCCAACCACATTGTTCCTTTGAAGGAACGCTCGAAAGTCATCCGGAATAATGAGATCATCTCTTGTTAAGGTCTTCCCAGAACACGAATCACACTGTAAGAATTCTCTCAACCTCTCTCTTTCCATGGAGGGGAAGGCTGGGAAGGCAACGACGATAGCCGCTGGATCCAGGAACGGTCCACACACGGTAGTGAATACGGCTTTGTCTTCCTCACCCTTTTCGATGGCCTTGCGCATGCTTTTTTGCACTGTCTTCTGTTTACTTCCTGAGGGAATCTTCATTATTTGGAAGAAAATATTATAAACCCTCTTCCCACAGGGATATGACAAGAAAATATCATGAGAACCTTCTAGAACAGGGATTTCTTCCTCGATTTTTCTCCGTTCCTTGGCTGGGATATTAGAGAGGGCTCGATGAAATGCTCTTTGTCTGTTGAATGTCTCGCAAAACTTATAATCAGTAACGAGTAGCGATGGATAGGAGCAGCAGAAGTCCTTAGCTCGAATGAACACTTCAGCAAAAGCTGCATGATCTCGTGGAAGTTCCACATCTTCCCCATCAGGCTTGTCGAGCTGTTCCCTTGCATGCCAAAGGAGACCCTCGAAGTCATCCTTTTTCAGGAGATATCCCGATGGAAGAGAGTAGTGTGTTTCGCCTGCTTCTGGGTAGTGCTGCTCAAGATAGATCTTGGACGCCTCTGCAAATGGTGTTTTCTTGTCAAATCCCATGTGCACCTGGAGAAAATTCATTGTTAAGTAAAACGAGATCGTACCTGAGGCTTTCATGCAACAAAAGCTTATATCAGAAGCACTAAATTATAATGCATGCTTTTAAGAATATCACATACTAGCGAGTTTGTTTGGTCGCGCCTTCGGCGCCCTTTACCTTGTATAGTCTAATCACTATTCATTCATTTTTTTCGAAATGGGAAACATGTATTTGAAGTACGTCCCCATTGAAATACGTGACATATGGGTTCGAAAGACTTTATTTATATCAATATCAATACTTATATGATTCTATGTGTGCCTAACTTTAAACTTTTTCTTGTGTCCCATTTTGTAAGTCTGGAGAATACATTTTGAAATACTTCCCTCCAATAATCTATGCTAAGGAAATATAGTTCAAAATTATGATTTGTCCTTTTCTCAGCCATCAAACAGGTACTTCTGAGGGAAGTTTATATTTCCTGTCTCTGTTTCGTTGGATCGAAAAAAAATCAGGAAAATGAGACTGAAAAAAGTGCAATATTGGGTGTTAAAGAATTTTTTTTTCTTTTGAAATGTAGACTCAGTGATCTCCATGCCACCCAGTTTCAGTCAAATACGTTTCCCCTTTTTGCTGGCCGAAAAAATATATTTGGAAAAGCGACCCACCCAAAAGCTGTGCTCTGAGGTGACGTATAAAAAAATTTAATTTTCCAGCTACTTTTCTAAAGTCCCTAAAGTTTCAATATTATACATTTGCCCTTTTCGCTGTTAAAAAAACGTGCTTTGAAAAGCCACCCACCCAAAAGCTATGCCCGAAGGTGATGCACCATGAAAGCTGAATACTCTCTCAGCTCATTAATATTATGTCATTATACGTATGCCAAGTTTCACCTTTCCATTTCTTTCCAATTCGCCACGCCAATTTCTTTTTTAAAACATCGAAACCTCGAAAAATTCCCCCAGGGGAATATATCATGACTTAACATTTTTAACTCCTTGTCTCAGTAGTCACATTCATACAAAGATTCAGTTTTCCATGTTCACCAGTTTAACAGATGCAAAAAATATTAGTTGAAAACATCTCCCTTTGAAATTTGTGCCCACAGGGCATTTATTTCTAAAGTCTGAAGTTTTCTGCAGCATCCCAATGGGTAGTTACGTACCAAGTTTCATCTTTGCACTCCGCTTAATACGCGAGAACAAAAAAGGACTTGAAAACGTCGGATCACAAAAATACGCCCACAGGGCATGAATATAAAATTTTCCATTTTTCCTGAACACATCGTCTCATTAGGCACGTCCATGCCAAGTTCCATCTTTCCATGTCTCTCCGTTCTACTCAAGCAAAAATGATGTTATGGAGGGGGATTGAGTAACTGGACATGGAAGGCAAAAAAAAAAACAAAAGAGGGCCAAAGTATGGCCAGGAATTGAACCTGGACTTTCTGACTGCCAGTCAGATATGCTACGACTACACCACAGAACCCAGCACATCAATTAGCTCTTTGAATGCCATCCTCATGTGTCACAAAAAAATATTCATGAAAAAACTTCTCCCCCCAAAATTTGTACCCTCAGGGCATGTACCTCCAAAGTCGGATTTTTTCTGAACTCTGCATCCCAGAAGGTACATGTGTACCAATTTTCAGATGTGTAACCCTTCTAGAACATGGTTAGGCTCTGGAAGTAATAGAAGTAATGATATTTATAAAAATGAAGACACAAATTTTCATAAATTTGCTGATTCAACAAAACGGAGGGTGGTAGAAAGTTTAAACCTGGCAAAGAAGGACCTGATGAATAGCTGAGTAAAGAAACAATTCTACTTTCATATGATATATAGATAATGCGTGCGCCAGCTGCTATTTTTCTATTTCTGCCTGATTCGCTAGCATATTAAACAAATTCTTTAAAAACGTTACGTCCCCAAGAAATATCCCCCCTAAAAATATATTTGAACTTAGACATTTGACATTTCAGCTGAGTGCTTCGCATGTCACGTTCTTGCCATGTTACAGCTTTCCATGGGTCTCCGTTTGAATGAAGCAAAGAGAAGTATTTGGAAATATGTTCACCGAAAAGGTGTGCCCCTTTGGCGTATATCACCAAAGTGGAATTTTTCCTGAACTCACGATGTGAATAGCTACTTATGTCAGTCAGTCAGCTGCTCACGATTATCTATATATCATATGAAAGTAGAATTGTTTCTTTACTCAGCTATTCATCAGGTCCTTCTTTGCCAGGTTTAAACTTTCTACCACCCTCCGTTTTGTTGAATCAGCAAATTTATGAAAATTTGGAAAATATCTGCCCTCGGGCGTTATAACAGTAAAGTACCATTTTTTTCCGAAATTAAACCTAAGTGAACTACATGGCCACAAAGTTCCAATATTATACGTTTACCCTTTTCACTGGTGAAAAATCATGTTTGGAAAAGTCAACCCACCCAAAAGCTATGCCCGGAGTGGATGCACTATGAAAGCTGAATACTCACTCAACTCAATATTATCACCTGACTTACATGTGTGCCAAGTTTCACCTTTCCATTTCTGACCAATGCGCCATGACAATTTCTTTCTTTTGAAACATCGCCCCTGGAGAAATTTTCCCCCGGAGATGTATCAAGACTTAACATTTTTCTTTAACTCCTTATCTTGGTAGTCACATTTATGTAAAGTTCCAGTTTTCCATGTCCATCGGTTTATCAAATGGGAAAAAAATTATGTGAAAACATTCTCCCTTTGAAATTCATGCCCCAGGCCATTTCATTCCAAAATCTGAATTTTTCTGCACACAGCATCCCGGTAGGTAATTTTGAACCAAGTTTCATAGGCCATTTTATTCCAAAGTCTGATTTTTTTTGCACACAGCATCCCGGTAGGTAATTTTGAACCAAGTTTCATCTTTCCACACTAGATCTATACACCAGGACAAGAAAAAATACTTGAAAACGTCGGCCCCAAAAATATGCCCCCAGGGCATGGATATAAAATGTTGCATTTCTCCTGAACTCATCGTGTCAGTAGGAACGTCCATGCCACGTTTTAGCTTTACATTTCTCTACGTTTTAATGAAGCCATGGGACATGAAAGGCAAGAGAAATAAAAAAAAGGCATGGAACGGTTAGGAATATGAACCCTGGCCGCACGACTCCCAGTCCGCGGTCCTACCACAGCATCACCGAAACGGTGACATATAATTGCTTCTTTCGAATGACATCCTTATCCATCACGATATATATATTAAAAAACTTCTCCCCCCAAAATGTGTACCCCCAGGGCATGTACCTCCAAAGTCGGATTTTTTCTGAACTCTGCAACCAAAAAGGTACATGTGTGTCAATTTTCGTCAAAACCCATCAGGGCACTTTATCAGTCCCGTTTTTCGGAATTTTTTTTTGATACAATAAAACAGAGACAAGAAATTCAATCTCCCACAGAAGTATCTGTCTAATGGCTGAGTACAGGAAAAATCATAATTTTGAACTATATTTCCTTAGCATAGATTATTGGAGGGAAGTATTTCAAAATATATTCTCCAGACTTACAAAATGGGACACAAGAAAAAGTTTAAAGTTAGGCACACATAGATTCATGTAAGTATTGATTTTGATAAAAAATAAAGACTTTCGAACCCATATGTCACGTATTTCAATGGGGACGTACTTCAAATACATGTTTCCCATTTCGCAAAAAATGAATGAATAGTGATTAGACTATACAAGGTAAAGGGGCGCCGAAGGCGCGACCAAAGCGAGTTTGTTTCGCGAAGGGCAAACAAACTCGCTAGTATCTAATATATATAGACGATCGTGACTGACTGACGCTAATTCTAACCATGTTACAGAAAGGTTAGAAATCTGAAACTAAACTTGGTACACATGTACCTTTTTGGTTGCAGAGTTCAGAAAAAATCCGACTTTGGAGGTACATGCCCTGGGGGTACACATTTTGGGGGGAGAAGTTTTTTAATATATATATCGTGATGGATAAGGATGTCATTCGAAAGAAGCAATTATATGTCACCGTTTCGGTGATGCTGTGGTAGGACCGCGGACTGGGAGTCGTGCGGCCAGGGTTCATATTCCTAACCGTTCCATGCCTTTTTTTTATTTCTCTTGCCTTTCATGTCCCATGGCTTCATTAAAACGTAGAGAAATGTAAAGCTGAAACGTGGCATGGACGTTCCTACTGACACGATGAGTTCAGGAGAAATGCAACATTTTTTATCCATGCCCTGGGGGCATATTTTTGGGGCCGACGTTTTCAAGTATTTTTTTTTGTCCTGGTGTATAGAGCTAGTGNCGTCAGTCAGTCAGTCAGTCAGTCACGATCGTCTATATATATTATCTATAGATGATTTCATATCGAAAATTGGAATGAATGGCTGACTGACAGATTGAGTGACTTAAATACGCTTATTCCAAGCCTGAATTAGAGATGATAGAAATCTGTAACATGAGGAGAAATCCATGAAGAAATCCGCAAATATGAAAACTGTCAACCAAAATGTCAGATCAGACTACATTTTACTTTTAGTAAAAGTAGCAGGTTTAGTAATTATACTCTTTACTCACAGGCTACATTTTAATCTTTAAATCTAGAAGTTCTTTTTGATTGCAAATATTCTACCCTTTGTTTCAGAAATATATACAACAATAATGAATAGGCTTGAAGAAATGACGCGTGGTAGTGGGTTGGTGGTGTCAGTACATATGTATTAATACTTCCGGTGTCCGGAAAGTAATGAGAATCGCTTGTAAACTGTAAGCACTACATGCAATGCACTTCCCACTGCTCGGGCATTTAGATCAATATGTAATCTCTGCATTTGCTGATTTTCAAGTCAATCCGTTGAGAATTGCTTACAGAGCAGGCCTCAAAAGACCGCTCTATGAGCTCAGTGCAATTCGGTATGTTTTCAACAATTTGGATATGGCTACAACCGCTGAGAACTTTCGCATCAACGCGTTCATGTGGTTCAAACTTAGCATTACGGCCTTTACCTGTTACACGGAATGAGCTTGTTGCAAAATGTCTTGTTGAGCTTGTAGCAGAAAGCCTCCACCCCTTCGCGGAAAAAAATGTCCAAGTGTGCTTCGCGCCGTTGATGCGAGCAGTTTTGTTGTCCTCGGTCAGTTTGTGCGGTATCCAAACTGATGCCACGTTGCGCAGTTGCAGGTCTTGTGTGAGCATCTCGTGGACAATGCTCTTGCCAACGTCGAGCCCCTCATCCAGCTCTCAAGTAGTCACTATCTCATCATCCACCAACTCTCGCACCGTCTCGACAAGCTCTGGCGTCTGGTTGGACCTTGGACAACTACTGTGTGTGGGCTGCTCCAGAAAGGAAGGCATCCTTTTCAGCTACTTCTCTGAAGCTGCTGAACCGCCGGAAGACAAGATTTGACATACATCGGGACCAGCTCCGTGTAACAGCCAGAGGTCGCAATGCTAAGTTTGGACTACGTGAACGCGTTGATGTGAAAGTTCTCAGCGCTTGTAGCCATATCCAAATTGTTGAAAACAGGCCGCGTTGCACTGAAATTATAGAGCTGTCTTTTGAGGTCTGGTCTGTCAGCACTGCTCAACGTATTGACTTGAAAATTGGCAATAACAGAGATTACATATTAATCTAAATGCCCGAGCTGTGGGATGTGCATTGCATGTAGAGTTCCAAGTTTACAAGCGATTCCCATTACTTTCCGGACACCTCAACTAACTTTACAGAAAGGAGTGAAACAAAAAAAAAACAATCACAGAAAATACTTTGTTCAGCAATATATGTTCAAAGTGGCATCCTGTCACTATGGGTAAAAACGTTAGTTGGTCTAAATCCTTCCCCAAGGGCGGAATAATGATTCTGTTGCTCCAATTTTCCAAGCTGATTTATTTCCATGTTTGAATATAACATCTCATCGAGCGCAAACTAGTTTCGCACTGACCTGGAGGAGGTTGCGGATGTCAATTCCATCTCTCTGCTGGCCTTTGGTCAGAGACGCGACATCGCGGAGCCCTATGCAAAACTGACAAGAGCGACTTTCCTGCAAGAATATATCAAATGTATGCATTTGTTCTCAGGGATTGACTGAATAAGTTGAATGCGTAGGGCCACACAATTTAGTAGCAAAGCAAAATATACAGCGACATGATGTCAATATGTAGACTTTTTAAAGAACATTCAACCGTGCTTAAATATATGGGGACGGTTAATATTCTATTGCTATTACTCGTACCAATTTTTATATCCAGGAAGCATGTACATAACCCATTCGCATCCACAAGCGTACTCGTACGCATTGCCTAGTGTTCTTCTCCTTTGGCCTATGTCATAGATAGATATTGGCTTTTACGCTTTGCGCGTCAGGCAAAGACAAGTGAATTCTACTCCACATACGCCAATACAATCCTTGATGAGAATGGGTTAACGCATGACTACAATAGTATGTTAGACTCTCATTGGGTGTATACTTTCTTCACGTTTGTGCATATACCTACCTGATCGGAGCTGGTGTTTGCAGAGCTGAAACCGCTGTCTATGGACATTTTGGCCCCGTCTTGACCCAGAAGATTCTTAGTCTCGATACTGAAAGGCAACATATTGATTTCCATAAAATAATCTAATGTGTTAACAGATTACTCCCATTGATATAGAAACAAGTAACATATTATTCATTGTCATCAGTGAAGCAGGGACTGACATTTGCAAGAGACTGCACCACTTTTCTGAAGTTCCGAATTCCATGATGTAGTTTTCCCAATATAAACCCCCCTTGAAGAACAATTTCAATTATCTTTCAGGATTTGCAAATTACATTGCAATGGTCTACGTGGCAACGTAACCATGGAAAAACAGGGAAGTCATATAACCTAATTTTTCTTTTGTGCATGCGGTAACTTTCAAGATTTAATGGGATTCAACTGATAAGAAGAACGGATAGTTAATTCAAAATTGTCATTAATGTTCAAAATAAACGTTGAAAATATCTCTGCTATGGATTCATCGAATGTCTAAAACAAATATGAAGAACAATTAAGAATTTGGCTCTTGAGGGGACGTTGTACATGGGTAGAAGTTAAGTAAATTATTATGTTTTCACTGCACCTTATTAGAGAAAGGAAGAGACATTTAAAAATATGTCCTCGACTAATAATTTAATATACAGCAAGGGAGGGCATTCACTGCTTTCTAGATTAAGTGGAGGATAGCCAGTACATGACTCGCTAAATAGATAAGTATCAATACTACAGGCCGAAAAAGTGTTTCAATACCCTTCTACAGTACAACTGTAATACGATCCTTGCAGCATCCTCATTCGTCATTATGGGTCGCTTGCAGTAGTAATGCTGATGTAACCATTATTCCAAAAGTTTCTTTCGATTTACCTTGGGGAGTTTCCACATGTTCCATTGTCATCAGACGTGTCCTTGAAAACATCATCTTGTTTTATGCTCGTTTGCCGCAAAGGAGGGGTTGTGCTGCTTGCATTGCCTTTCAAAACAACTGTGGCATCATCTTCTTTTTCATTTGCCGCAATCTTCTTCCATTCTGGAAAGAATTCGAAGATCATAATAATCACATTTAATAAATTAAGAAACTAATATAGAGATAGCAATAGGGATGCAACTAGAAAAGTAAAGACACTGCTCTGTTTTTGCAGAAGCTCTTCGTTCTGTATGCAACTAAACCTTTATAACGGAATTTTATCTTCAAGTCAAAAGGTTGTGAAATTTGTAGATCTTCCTTGCACTTGCACCATTATCAAATCAGCTCTTCGGTGCGCTTGGCCATATTATTGATGCACATTAAGAACATCGTAGATTAGGAATGACTGAATGATCATGAACGGAAATCAGCTTTGTTGTGTTGAGAGGAAAGTTATTTATGCAGGGTGTCCCGTATTTGGTCCTTTCACCTGGACTTTGGCTCAGAAAAGGCTTGTCTTGTAGGCACGCGCTTGGCTATGGCAGCGCAGATCTAGGTTTCAGCTGACTAGGTACGAAATCCCCTATATTCAGTCAATAATGGTACACCCTGCATACATGTGCCTCGTGTTGGAAGCCATCATGGGCGGCTCGTGATATACGGCAGTAGTGGATCGTCAGTATAGGTAGAGCATGCCCGAGCCTACCGTGTCTTCGTTGACGATGGACTATTGTTGAATATCACGAGCCGTCATAGTAACTCAATTTCATCCACATGTTTCATAATAAGCTATTATTAAATTATAATACCTTCTTCCAGCGTGGTAGCAAGAGAAACATGTTTCTTTTCACGCAGGACTTCAATGAAAGTTGGGAAGGCGTCATCTCCCCAAGAAGGAAGGAATTGTTGAAGAAACAGCAGCTTTTCCGTCGTCTTTGCATTTGCAATTTCGAAGTACTGAAGGTGAGGTATGATTCCCTTGCTCCAAAGGTGACCCAAGACGGCACCTATGTTGATGTACTCCAGTTCTTTCGCGTGGGTAGAGAGGATGCCCGCAATATGGCTCATGTCTTTTTTCCTGGTATGACTAAATGGAGATAAGCTCTGGATGTGATAACGCAACTTAAATGATGTGGTGGTATTTCTTTCTCTGTGGGCTGCTTTTGGAATAGAGACACGATCGGGATGAGCCGTTGAGAGTTCAAATGCGCAAATCACATCAGCATTAAATGATAATGCTGATGTGCCTTTTTCCTGAGATAGATTTAATTTTGTTCCCCTTAGATCTTTCCCTTCAGCAGTGCGTGTTGATGAATTTGCAGGAGCAATTGGATATGCAGGAGCAGCAGGCTATGCAGTAGTAACCCTCGTAGTTCCTCGGCACGAGTGTAATCAAAGGTTTTCACCATCCATGGGACATTCCTTGTTGAGTCACTCATACACCCTATAGATTTCACTCCCAAGAGCATGATCATGCGAGAAAATAGTGTAGTCACGCACAATATCAGTGATAAGGAACGAGCGAAAATAATTTCACCACCACTTGATTTGCACTAACTACAGGCTGCTTGAGCACCTGTTGAATTGCACTACTTCATGATGATGCACAGTTAATACTGCAAAGCATATCGCAGACTATCAGAACATACGGAAAAAGTACCCAGCTTCCTCCAGATAGAGCTTATCTTCAGACGGGCACAATATCATTTTCTTTTTTTTCTGACCGAAACTAATGTAACTCCTGGCATTCATCAATATCGTTATGGTAGCCTATTAAACAGAAGCACTTCCTCATGTCTTATACAGTATATTATGTAGATATGCAGAGTGATACAGCACTAAGAGCCAGATACATCCCAATCATTTTTGCTGTGGTTGTCGGTGTCTAAATATACATTGTTTGCTTTCTTCCGATTTCTAAACCCGCCACGATGAAAATATCTCTCAATTCACTTGTAGAGATTGGGTTTTCGGTGCGGGCCTGTGCTCAGTTAAAGAGCTGACAAGAAAACATGTCTACCTGTTGACAATTTAAAAAATAGATTAAGAATTGCTCAAATGCACAATGACCCATTTCAATCTCATTGAAGATCGCCGTTTGCAGGAGTAAGTACAAAATGTATTCGACTATGTACGCTACTTTTCCTTGCATCAAGGAGACAGCCTCGCAAGAAATTATTACAATATAAGCAGATGATACGATTTTTTCTGAGTGCATATGCAGAAATTTTCATTTCAGCTCTTCAATTGAGGACAAAATCAAATGGGGAAAAACAAGTGTATTTTCACTAGAAACACTTCAGCTTGGCATTACACCTTCGTGCTGGAGGTCTCACGTGTGGATTTGCCATCTGCCTTCACGGATTTCGTACCTATTTGATACAGTTAATCCCGCTAAGGAAATCTGCGGCGCCTTCTGCCTAGCTCCGGGTGTCTGTCTCGCTCTCTGGAGCTCGTACTTTCCCTCCGGCCGTTGCGGCTGCCGGATCCACTCTCGAGAACGTAATAGCCCAGGGGGGTAGGGGAAGTTCAGATGACATGACGAAAAAAATGCAATAGAGCTACCGGGAATCGATATCAGGACCTCTAATTTGGCGAACAAGTACTTTTCCTCTACACCACCAATCCAAATACTATCAGATAAAGTTTTCTGTGTTATCCATGACATTACAACGGGAGCGATGCCTTTTACGCACACCCCGATACAGACCCAGGTATCCGATGCGGACTTCTCAGCAAGGACGCGTTAAAAGTCCCCGCGTATTACACTTGTAGTCCCCTTTCATCCCTTTTGGAATGATGACTTCCTCGTCGGGATGAGATCTCACCATCACGAGTATATTTCTTCATCTGATCATAGATTTATCGGGATCTTGAATCCGTCATCAATCAGAACCCCATCACTTTAATGATCGGCATTCTCACAAGAAGAGTGACTCCCGAGGGTGAAAACAGCGGGATCCCACCTGTATGGAACAGGCATCCTCGGTTCGAAATGATGCCGTCGGCCGCGTAGTAACCATCCCGTTTCTCTAGCGTATATTTCACTAATAGGGCTACAATGAAAAGTGGTGGAGATGGACTTTCTGACGATAAGCACATCGTCGAGATCGATACGGGATAAGAGTTTCGCTCGATAAACTTCGTATCGCAGGCATGAACACCCTCGTGAATAAGAGGGAGGGGGATGTGCAAGACGTATAGCCGGTGGCTGCTGCGCAGAGCGTTCGAGGGGCCGCTGACTGTACTCGTGAATATCCGAATATGCTACACGCTTTGCCTATGCCGACCCTGAATTCGTGGATGTCTTCCACAGGTTGGGTCTCCGTCTCGCTTGAGAGCGAGCAGTTTTTTTTTAGTCTTCGCGACTGTCGGATTCGTTCTCGAGAACGGGAGAAGGAGCGGCTCCCGCCTAAGGAGTTCAATTTCTGACTGAACTCATGGGTTCCCGACATGTTCAGGACCGTAGAAAGGGGGTGGGGAGACCGGCCCCACGGATGATGCATGTACTATTGTTTATTATTATCGTAGCGTTTGTTCGCAATGAAGAGTTCAAACGCACTCAGTGAGTGTATTTGAAACAGCAGGGAGGGGAGAAGAGTGGAAAGGGACGATATACGTGAATATTGCCCCAGGCCTCACAATTCATTTTGGCGACCCAATGTTGCACGCATAGTGTAGTCCAGAAATGTTAAACTTGACTAAGCTCGCGGCCTGATGGAACCCTTCAGGAGGGGCTGGGCCCATAATCTCACTTCTTGCACCAAAATTTCAATTGCCAACAGGTTGAAATAGTCTACTCTGTTTAAAAAGCAACTGTCGAAGAGGACTTTGGAGACCGGAAATGAAATAGCTGGCCGGCAGTTTGACACCCATGGCCTAGACCGACCCGAAGTTAGTGTAAATCTTCCAGAGGTCATTCTCGAGAGCGGGATGGGCGATTGTGGTCGATAGGAAAAAGTGCCGATCGATAACGGGGTCGGGATTCCGATAAATGTAAGGGTGAAGATCTCACGGCGGCGAGAAAATTTTCCTTTCTTCAGGGAGATGAAAGGGGACTCCAAGGGTTCTACGCGGGGACGTGTCAAGATTGGGGAAGAGGGTATAGAGATGAGAGGGCCTCTGAGTTTTAGGGGCACGAATGAACCAGGGAGTTCTTGCCCAAGAGTTTGTGGAAGTTTTCCACGGATCGGCTAGTTTTCATGTAATAATGTCAAATTTCGGCGTTAAGAGTAGCATTGTCCTGAGCGCCATCCAGGGCGAAGTGCTCACAGCATCATAGTCCGCTCTCGACAGGAAACTGGATCGCCAAATTCGCTAAACGCTCGATGCACGGGTCAGTTCGGTCCTATCGAGCCAATCCGCATATCGGACGAACTCAAAATCTTTCCTTATTCAATCTGAGCGTTCCAAAATAGAACTGTTCTCTCACTTTAAGGCTACGGAGCGGAACTTGCTGAAAATTTGCGTATAGACGATTTGGGTTTACCTGATGACAGAGTGCATCTCCTTTTATTGATTGAAATCATGTTTGCTTGAAATTCGAGAGTTGTTTCTCCTTAGAATGCTGAGATGGAACTCACTAGATATTGTTACTTAAGGGAACTTGAGAGCCTTTGATGACGGGAACCATTTCCCCCTTCTCCATTTGATTCCTGGGAGTTCCAAATCCATTCGATGTGTCTCATTTGCATACTGCAGGTATCAATCCATAGCTTATGACCCAAAGGCGATACTTATTGGGTCAACAATTTCAAAAGTCCCACAGTTCTGATGTTATAGGACCTAATTTCGGCGATAAGAAGAGCAATTTGCTGAATTCCTTCCCGGGCTGTGTGTTCACAGCCAACAATGGGAGTACGAGGCATTGTCAGCAACGGACATTGTTGCTTTGGTAACTGCTGGCAATGATCATATGTCATAGTGTTACCAGTCCCGTCGCCCGTTTACGACACTGCTTCGCGTAAATCTGCAGCATTGAGTCAGCGCTCCATTTTATTAATTTGTGTTTCGAT